CTCCCTCTTCTTTCCTTTCCTCTCCTAGAGAGATGGCTCAGAGGATAAAGTGTTTTCTGTACAAACTGAGGACCTGAATTCAAGCCTCAAGTACCCATATAAAAGCCGGACCTGGCAGTGTACGCCAGTACAGTAACCCCAGTGCTGGAGTGGAGGGGAGAGAGGTGGACCTCAGGAGCTCTTTAACCAAAACACTGACCTCTAGATTCAGTGAAAGACAGTTTCAAAAAATAAGTTTGGGGGCTGGGACTGTTTTCCAGTCCCAGCACCTACACAGTAGCTAACAACCGTCTATAACTCCAATTCCAGGGGGTCTCACGCCCTCTTCTGACCTCCTCAGGCATTGCAGGACATGGGTGCACCTACCTACATGCAGGCATTACATTCATACACATAAAATAAAAATAATAAATAAAAAATAAGGTTTGAGAGCAATAAAGGACAACACCCTATGTAGACCTCTGGCCTAAACTTTCATACATATGAGCAAGTGAACTCACACACACATATATACACACAAAAAGAATGTGTATGTCTAAGGACACTGGCCTTGCAACTCCATTAATATGTCAGAGATGATGAGACTGGAGAGATGGCTCAGTAGTTAAGAGCACTGGCTGCTCTTGGAGAGGACCTGGGTTTGGTTCCCAGCACCCACATGGTGGCTAACAACTGTCCATAACTCCAGTTCCAGGGGATCCAATGCCCTCTTCTGACCTCTGCGTGCATTGCACCGACATGGGTGTACTTACATACATGCAGACAAAACACTCATAAAATAAAAGTAATATGTAAAATATTTTTAAAAGTATGTTAGAGATGAGGATACATGGTCTCCCAGGCAGTAAAATAGCATGGAAACCCCAAAAGTTCATCCAAAGCAGACTTCTCAGCTTAACAAGGTAACAAATGCCTGTAATCCCTGCATTTAGGAGTATGAGGCAGTATTCCAAGTTCAAGGCTAATCAGGGTCTACATGGTAAACCCTGCCTCAAAACACAACAAAAAATAAAGCTTGACAAAATTAAGCCACTCTGTATCTCTTTCTGTGTAAATTGCAAAATTGTACAATTACTATGTGTCAAAATTTTTAATTACATTTTAACAAACTAATACCAGAATTTCTTTTAGATATTCAACTATCTTTATCTAGGAAAATATCTTGATGTCAATGGAAAGTTAAATTTTTCCTCCATTCCATTACAGAGTTCCACAACTGGTCACACACAGAGATTGTGAATTGTGCAACCCTAAGGGACACATCTACAATGGAACCTCTACACCTAAGGCTCACGGAACACAGCAGAACAAGTGGCAGAGAGAATGCTGATGCATCTCTCAACTCTCATCAATGAAGCTTCCTCCTGCAACAAAGGGCCCAGAACACAAAAGGACACAAGTAGCCAAAGTGAAGGGAATAAGTCTACAGAGTGTGGGACCCTGGACAGTACTCCTCTCTTAAACTCCACCCACCCAGGGCTCAGGGACCACTGCAGAAGAGGGGGCAGAGAGACTGTAAGAGCCAGGAGAGGAGGTGCATGGAAATAGGCTCCTGGGATCTTGCTCATATGAACCTACAGCAATGGTGTCAGCATGCACAAGACCTATGCAAACTCAAGCAGACAAAAACCCAGCATAGAACTGTGGGAATGGGCAGCAGACCCCAATCTTAGCTGAAGAACTATTGGCAACTGATGACTGCTGGATGAGGAAGAACTGATCTTCTTAAAGGGAGGGACTCTAGATAAGCTGGCTGGACCTTAGTGGATGAACTTGCACTGAGGGACATTTGGGGATACTAGCTTGACTCGATACACCTTAACACAAATGACAGAATGCATGAAATTCACCAAATGGCCAAAGTATAGAGCATAAGAGTCTGTACAGAATGGGTCCTTGGACAGTTCTCATATATTAAACTCCACCCACCAGGGCTCATTGAGCATTGTAGAAGAGGTGGTGGAAAGACTATAGGATCCAGGGTGCATTACCCTATGGAAATTGGGTCCTATAGGCTCCTGGGATCTTGCTCATATGAACCTACAGCAATGGTGTCAGCATGCACAAGACCTATGCAAACTCAAGCAGACAAAAACCCAGCATAGAACTGTGGGAATGGGCAGCAGACCCCAATCTTAGCTGAAGAACTATTGGCAACTGATGACTGCTGGATGAGGAAGAACTGATCTTCTTAAAGGGAGGGACTCTAGATAAGCTGGCTGGACCTTAGTGGATGAACTTGCACTGAGGGACATTTGGGGATACTAGCTTGACTCGATACACCTTAACACAAATGACAGAATGCATGAAATTCACTGGGGGGGGGCTATGGGGGCTGCCAGTGGGGAAAGAGGTATAAAGATGATTAAGATGTTCTGAATGGGGGCTGGAGAGATGGCTCAGCGGTTAAGAATACTGGCTGTTCTTGCAGAAGAACAGGTTCAAATCCCAGCACCCACATGGCAGCTAACAACTGTCCACAACTCCAGTTCCAGGGGACCCAACAGCCTCTTCTATCCTCCGCAGGCATGGGTGCACTTACCTACATGTAGGCAATACACACATACACATAAAATAAAAATAATATTTTTTAAAAAAATTAGATGTTCTAGATGAAATACACAAAAATAAAATTTACAATAAAACAAAATTCCTCCATTCCAAGGGTGTGGTGAAGTTGGACTAATAATGGTCAGTAAACTTGGTTACACATTTGAATCACTCAGGGGGCTTCTAAAACAAGCCACCCAAGGTCCAACGTCAGCTTAGCAGAGATCTGCTGGATGTTGTCTCCTTGTCATAAGTACAAAGGAAGACTACATTTCCCAACTATCTTAGTTTGTTCTTCATTGCTGTGACAAAACACTCTGACCAGTACCAACTTGGGGAGGAAAGGGTTTATTTGTCTTACATCTCCCAGGTTGCACGCAGTTCATCAGGGAGCCCAAGGTAGGAACTCAGGGCAGGAACTTGGAGGCAGGAGCTGGAGCACAAGCCATGGAGGAATGCTGCTTACAGGCTTGCTCCCCTGGCCCCTACTCAGCCTGCTTTCTTATGCAATACAGGCCCACCTGCCCAGGGGTGGCACCACCCACAGTGGGCTGGGCCCTCCCACATCACTCATCAAGAAGATGCCCTTCAGACATGGCCACAGGCCAGTCCAATAGAGGAAATTCCCCGATTGAGGCTCCCTCAACCCAGGTGTGTCAAGTTGACACTAAAGCTATCCAGCACACCAACCTTCCTTGCAGTAACCTAAAGCTGGGGGCTAGGGTCCAGTCAGTGCAGGTGTGAGCAAACAGAGCTGACCCATGAAATGAGCAGTTTTCCACACCGTCTTCTTCCTTTGTGACACCTGTGGAGTCTTCACATTAAATCCGTGTAACAGATGTAAAAAGGCTAGACCCTTGAGTCGCAGCTAGAAATGCCACCCAACTCACAGAAGATGTGATGTGAGGAAGAAATTAATAGCAAATAAGTTGCTGAGATGTGGTTTGTTTTGTTTGTTTTGGTTTTTTTTGAGACAGTCTTCTTGTAGCCCCAGCTGGCCTGGAACTCGCTATGTAGACCAGGCTGGCCTCAAACTCACAGAGATTCACCTGCCTCTGTCTCCTGAGTGCTGGGATTAAAGGTGTTCACAACCATGCCCAGTTTGAGCTGTGGTTTTTAAAACCTTTTTGTTTTATGTGGAATGTACCACATTCATGCAATTCCTGTGGAGGCGAGAAGAGGGCATCAGATCCCTTGGAACTGGAGTTACAGACCAGTATTAGCTGCCATGTGGGTGCTGGGAACCAAACCTGGGTCCTCCGCAAGGCAGACACGGCTCTTAACCCCTGAGCCATCTCTCCAGTTCCTGATAATGTGGTTTTAACATCAGTCAGCAATCTCCATGCTTTAGAGTTCATAGATCTAGAGTGGGGCTGCATAATTGTTTCTCTTTTAACTCCCAAATGAGTCTACTGTGCAGTCAAGACTTGAGAACCACTGGATTAGGACAGAAATATAAGTGTGGACTTTCCAGGGGTGCCCTAGGAGATAAAGTCATCCAGGAATGAAAGAAAAAAAGGAAAGGAGCAAGCAACATGGCAGCACATGGGGACCCAAGGAGAAAGAGTTGACCCGGAAGACCTCTGTGCTGGGAAGGGTCAGGGTTTTAACTATCGGCACTGAATTCTCATCAAAGCATGAGGTGGGTGATGTAAGCCCCTATGGCTGCCTCCAAATCAGTAGTGAAATTGTTCTCTGACCTGGCTCTTTACGCCTGTGTGGCTTCAAGGAAACTCAAGGGCCAAGGGCTGGATCCACATGTAGCCACAGCAGACAGGGACAGCCTAAGTCCCCTGGGAGACTCTGCAGTGATACTGTAGAACAGTGTGCCACGATTGCCTTCTGAAGAATGCCAGGTGGAAAGGAATGCTAACCCCCTGCCCTATACACACACTGTGGTGGCATTTGGCTGACCTTCTTTTCCCCTTCCTTCCTTTCTTCCTTCCTTTCTTTTGGGCCAGGGAGCAAAAGAGTGACATTTCAATGTCATCTACTGCCCCTGTGTTGAGTACTGAGTACCCTCTAACATTACCTCTGAGAGACTGTGTGGCACTTATACAGAAAATGAAGTGGAGGCCCAGAGAGGTAGGGGTACTTGCTGAAGGTCACACAAGTTCTGGGTGGACACACGTGGACTGGCTATGGAATTCCTGACTTCTTCACACCCCTGATGGTCACCAGCTCCCAGGAATGGGCACTTAGAGGAGAGAGTCTTCTTCAGACAGAGTATGGAGGGATAGGGAAGATACCGTAGAACACTAGTATGTCATTCCATCTTCCAGTCTAGAATCATCTGTCCTGTGCTCCCTGACCCTCACCTTCCCCCAAAACTATCCACCCCAATTAAAGACAAACAGCCCAGAAGCATTTGCTTTCATGTTTAATCAAAGAAAGAGAAAGAAAACCAGGGAGAAAACTTGAGAATTAGATGGCTGAAGGAGGGGACAAAGAACAACTGGGCTGGAGCTGAGTGGGGACCATTGGGGGGCAGGGTCTTCATTCTCCTGAGATCCCCAAGTTCAAGAGGCCACAGTGGGAAGGAGGACAGAGTCACAGAGCAAGCTTGATGGACACCCACTGTTAAAATCCAACCCTATGCTGAGATGAAGAGACTCACAGCCTCTGTTCCCACCTGTATAGTGCCTGGAAGGGGCACAGAGCAGGGCTCGGTCCAGCCCTGCCTCTCACACATCACTGGAGAGGAAGGTGTGTGGACTGTCTCCACATTGGACTTCCACAGCGAAGGAATGCTGCCAACTCTCCAGAATGACACCCACCACATTTCTATCAGAGGCCATGGTCTTTTGGTCAGGGGGTTTTGTGGGTTAACCAAGGAGAATTCAGGCCTGCCATAGGAGATCCTTCTCTGCCTCTAAACCCGTGTTCCCCAGGGAGGCAGGCGCTGCAAATAACTCCAAGTCTAGGTATCAGGAAAATGCTTCGTTTTCCTCCCATTCCCAGGCTCCTTAAGCTGAAGGTGGGGGTGATGCAGGATGTGCTGAACTGAGGATAAAAGGACACAGACTAAAAGTAGGAAGATGACCACATACAGTGTATGCAGAGCTATACAGATGAACTGGGGGCAGGCCTAACATCTACATCTCATTTGCACATCCTATGCCAAAGCAAATGAGATTCCTAATATAATAAATATATTTCTAGCATTTGTAATAAATATTCTGTTTATTCTCCCTCCCCTCCCCTTCCCTAGGAAACGGGCACACAGTGGTTCAAGGGCCAGCTTGGGCTGACATTGCAGTAAGACTGACTGATACTCAGAAGAACTGGGAGGCACGGGATGGGGGTGTCTGGGGGTCCCCCCGTGAGAACAGGATGAAGGCTGAGATGTCTTGGGATATCTAGAACAGTATTCTTAAAAGGATTCTCTTATTTTACAAAATCACCCTCCCCAAGGACTGAAGGCTGGTGTTTAGAACAGGGACAGTAGGAGGGCAGAGGAAGACATCTGAAGAGGGCCCAGGCTCTGGGGTCTGAGGTGGAGGCCTTGTAAGAATTGGAGGCTGATGGGAACCCATAAAGGGGCCCCAAAAAGCCACCTAAAAGCAATCATTTGCAGCCTCTCCCTCAAGCCAAGTTACACACAAGTGCATGTACACACACACACACACACACACACACACACACACACACAGACACATATATCCGCGAAACAAACACAGACCACACAAGAGGAAGACATCTGAAGAGGGCCCAGGCTCTGGGGTCTGAGGTGGAGGCCTTGTAAGAATTGGAGGCTGATGGGAACCCATAAAGGGGCCCCAAAAAGCCACCTAAAAGCAATCACTTGCAGCCTCTCCCTCAAGCCAAGTTACACACAAGTGCATGTACACACACACACACACACACACACACACACAGGCACATACATCAGGGCCAGAAACACAGACCAGCACCACAGCACCACAGGTTGCCCAGCCTGGAGTGCCAATGGGGCCATCTGGACCTGTGTGGCAAGCGCTGCTCACCTGTCAGTTTCTAAGCCCACACTCACAGTCCTCCCCCCTATCCTGCCTTAACTCCCATCCTGTCAGTCCTAATGCCAGTGGGCTACCTGGATCCATCAAAAGAGAAGCCCAAAGCGGACTAAGCCCTGTATGGGCCATGGAGCCTGGAGTGCTTTCGATAACCACAACAGAGGACTCAGTCTTCCAGGCCCTTTCCCAACCTAGGCTGAGCCCACTAGCCCCTGCCAGCTGCACCCTTTGGGTAGCAGAGCTTACCCAAGAAGGACACATTGGGGAAGTCTGTGGAGAGACTTTGGCAGTGAGAAGCTGTGGATGAGGGAGAGACCAGGCCGCATTTGCTCCTGGGGGAGATGAAACTCACACTGGCAGCTGCATCTGGCTCATGGTTGGGCTCCCCTCTCCTTTAGGATGGCCCAGACTGGCATTACTGCCCAGGTCTGCCTAGCTACCAATTGCTGAGTACTCCCCTGGCCACATGAGAACAGCCCAAAGCTGAATCTAGGACTAGAGTAAGAGATGGGAGGGGCCCAGGAACAGGGTAGGTGTCACCAGCCCAGAGGAGAAAAAGCTGGCAGGGGTCATATGCCTACTGACCACAAGGTCCTCAAACAGCTTTGATTTTCTCTGAACTGAGCATTATGGGAGTGACTCTGAGACACTCCTGGACACAGCTTGGCCCTTAGGGATGTCTGGAGGCCAGTGGTCATTGGGAGTGGGCAGCACCTGGGTACAGAGGTACCCCATGAACACCCACCTCCCTGGCAGTGCACACCTTACACTGAAGCCAGCTGTAGGGCCTGCTAGGAACTGTGATCCAGGGAAAACCAGAGATGGGGACTAAAGATCATGGCAGGGTGAGGGAGTGTCACAGATGGGATAGGGGATGGATTCAGGTTCTAGATCTTAACTCAGCAGGGAACAAGGTCCAGATCCAGGCTCAGTACACCCAGCTGACAGGCACCCACTGGGGCTCCGATCGAAGTTTTTCCATGGCAGCCTGGAGCTCTCGGAAGGTCCTCTCCAGGTTGCTGTTGACCAGGCTGAGGTCAAAGTAGTGCCCATAGCCCCTCTGGATGCGGCTGCTCTCCTCTACTGTCCGCCTCAGGTCTGCCTCCTGTTCGGAACAAGGAACTTTTCTAAGTGCCTACAACTCACTCCCATTGTTAAAGGGGTCTATAACCTGCCCCTCCTCATCCCAAAGCCCAGGCACACTGATGTAGATTCCCTGGCCAAGATGCAGGAGTCTCCCCTGTGCACCCAAGGCTGTGTTCCTGCACCAAATTCTGTTGGAAGGAAGGGGAAGGAGAGGAGGAAAGGGAAGGGAGAGCGGAAGGGAGGAAAGAAAAGGAGGGGAGAGGGGAGGAAAGAAGCTGTGCTAAGTGCTAAGACGCTAACCCCTTAGAACCCACATGCTCTTCACTACAGCTGCACAAGAGTGTTAACTGACTTCCCATTTACAACACAAAACTGAGATACAAAGAGATCACAGCCAACCCTAGACTGAAAAGTCTGCCGGACTCCAAAGCCAGAGCTCCCTCCAGTCTGACAAGGCAGGCCCCTCACCTATAGTTATGAGGTAGCATCAGGACACACCTAGTACCAGGGCAACCCCTAAGTGTGCAAAGCAACCCTTACCCCAGACCTAAAGAAGTCGGTGGGGCAGGGGTGAAGGAACTGGACAACTGATTTAAGGAAGCTGAGGCCAGCTGTGTCCCAGGGCCTCAAGTCAGCTGCCATTTGATCCCATTATGCTGGGATCATAATGCCCACAGCAGGAATCAGTCCAAGACCTTTAGGGAGTCCAAGTCCTTTAGGGAGCCATCTACAGAACTGGAACCAGCCTGCCCATCCTCTGTGAAGCCTGAGAGCTGCAGCAGCAGCTATGGCCAGCAGGGGGAACCCGAAGCTCAGAGCTCAGCAACCTTATTCCTAGGGGAATGCTGTAGCAAGGGGAGGGGTTTCCTCAGGGACCTTTCCCTGGCCATCTTCACCCCCACAGATCTTCCGCTGGCCCTCTGCAACTTCCTTTGTCCAGCACGCTCTCTCTGCAAAGGACTCCAAGTAGAGGGCCTGGAGTCAAAGTGCTGTGTCCATCTGAGACTTTGGGCACCGCACCTGCTGTCTCTAGCCTTCCTTTCCACATCCATAGGTCATGGACCAAAAGTTTCACCTCTCTATCTTCCTTGTCTCCCTCCATCAGCTCCAGTCCGTACACCCAGAAGGCAGCCAGCAAACCCTCCCACAGTGGCTAGGGGCTCACCGTGAGCTGTTTGGTAGACACTCCACTCTCCAGTGCAGCCCGGTTCATGGCCCGCAGTGTCTCAAAGTCAGGGGCCTCAATGAACACCACATAAGGGACAAACTCGGCCGTCCTCAGTACCTTTACTGCCTACAGGAGAAAAGGAGGGCCGACGTACATCTATACATGTGCAGGAAGAGGAAGGGTGTTTTAGTGTCAGGGTGGTCACCTGACAGTGAACACTCTGGATACCTGAGGGTCTGAGACCTGAGTCCTTGGAATAAATGACAGACAAGTGGCTGGCAGGTGACTGGAGATGGAATAACTGGAGGAAACTGGGTCTGGGAAGCTGAGAAACGGGATGGAGGTGGGCTGGGTCCTAGCAGTAGTCGGGGGGAACATGAGCACCAGGAAATAGATGGGAAATATTGAGGGAGCCGAGTGTGGGGAGAGGACACTAGCAGGCAGAGAAGGGGAGGTCTGGCCAGTACCTGGGGGTTGACATCCAGCACGCACACCTTGCCGGAGGCAACCACGCCCCTGATGGAATCGATCCGTGTGCCATACAGGTTGCCCTCATACTCGCCATGTTCCAGGTAGCGCCCAGCACGGATGTCAGCCTCCATCTCCCCACGAGACACAAAGCTGTAGCCCTGGCCTTCCCGCTCTGAGTCCTTAGGGCGTCGGGATGTGTCTTCAGGAAGGTGGAGACAAATGGTTAAAGGCAGATCACTCCACCTCAAATACATATGCACATGTTCCATGTGGGTTCCACTGGAGACATAGGCCGTCCTCCAACTGCCCTGCACTGCTGTTTTTCACACACGCATGCCCTCAGCACCACTGGCATGCATGTGCACACACAGACACACAAACGCGCAGGACATCTGGGCCGGGAGGATCTTCAGCGAGCAGCTAACCAGACCTACTGTGAACTAATGGGTGACTGAGGCTCAGGAAGGACAATGTGCAGCCAAAGTCACACAGATTTTTTTTTACGCTTTTAGCAAGTGGAACAAGAAGAGAAACCTTGGGTGAAGCCAGCCCCACCCACCTGGTCCTCAGCCTGCAGTTCCCCTTATCCACCCACAGAGGGCGCAGCACACCATAGAGTTCACGCCCAAAGATGCCACCTGACCTGCTGTCCTGGTGTCCCGGAAGATGCTGATTCAGAGCAGCTCTGCACCTCTCCAGCATCCCCCTTCACCTCCTGCACTTACACATCCCAGCCCCTGCTCCTCCCAGCAGGGCTCCGCCTCTACTCACAGGGTACCGTGGTGCCATAGCGGTCTGGATCCCATAGGATGAGCTTGTTCTTCAGGCTGCGCCGACCCACACCCTGCGCTCCAATCAGTACCAAGGTTTTCCGGCGGAATGGGGGCATGCGGGCCACCTCCTCATAAATGAGCAGCTCATGACGGTCAAACTCTGGACACCGGGAGAAGGCATTGCTTATCAGGTTGCCCGGTGGGGGGAGGGGCATGGCTCTCAGGACGCATCAAGGGTAAAAGAGCTTGGGCCCGGGGGGAAACAGGGAGGAACTGGGCAGGGCCAAGGAACAAGGTTGGCAGCATCCGAGGTAGAACAGACGCACAAATATCACTTGTGGGTTAGCGAGAGCACAGCATACACTGGAGGACAATTGGAGCAGGGCCTCTAATACCCACCTGCATTCTTGGTGGTCAAATACATCATTCTCTTCTTTTTCTTTCCTGAAAGGCTGCCGCACAGGGTCCCTGGCCACAGAGAAATGGGTGAGCAAGGCAGGTTGGGCAGAGCCTGATCCTAAATTGAGGCCTGGAGTAGGGGAGCGGGCTCCTACCTGAGGTTGGAGTCAGTTCCAGGTCCCGTTTGACAAATGCTTTCCGCTTCTCCTCCAACAGCTGGCTGGGGATGAGCCCAGCACTGCCCCCTTCTACATGACATGCCTGAAATGGCATGTGCCAAAGATCTGCCTGAGTGAGAGGACCCTTCCCAGCAACCCACCTCCCCCAAACTGTAGTTGGAGACACTGTACGAGCGCCTGAGGCTCACCTGCCACCAGTTGGCATCGTCCTGGTTTACAATTTGAAGCAAGTCTCCAGCGTTGAAGCGCAGGCCTGCTTCTTTGCAGGGGATGAGGCTGTCCCGAGCCGGGTCATAGTCAAAGTGGCATTTAACAAATACCTGGGCCCAGGAATTGGGGAAGGGTCAAGGGAAAGCACAAAGGGTGCCTCCATTGGAAGGGAGGATGGCAGATAGGCCACCCCCTGCCACTTCCCCTTACAGCGCCAGCGCCTCTAGGAGTGATGCCTCCAGGCATCCTCACACTGCCTTCATGGTACCAGCCTCCCTTGGCAACTGGAACTAAGAGGCTTAGAATGAGCAATGGAGAAATTGCTTCAGGCAAGGATTATTACATCTGGGGCAGACACTCCCACACTCAGGTCTCCCAGGTCACGGAAGAACACATACCCCTTGCACATGTGCATGAGTGCCTAAGGATAAGACAGGTAGATATGTGGACATGTGCGCCTCACTAAGCTGCTGTCTGTGGCTGTCATGAGTGGCCTGCAGATCCTGCTGTTTGCCTTGAGTGAACGTCTCAGAGCAGAACAGCTTCAAGAGACCAGTGGGCTGCTGCTGAGAGGCTCAGTCGTCCCTTGGTCCTTGAGCTGGGTGGGGTTCTGGCAGACAGGCCCACCTGGCGGGGCAGGTGGGGTTCCTGGTAGCTGGGTAGGATCTTGAGGATGACGCTGCCGCTGGCACTGCGCAGAAGCTCCTGCAGGGCCCGGGGGTCACTGCCCACTGGCTGCCCATTCACCTCCTTGATGATGTCACCCACATGCAGTAGGCCTTGCTGAGCCACCATGCCCCCGTGCAGAATTCGGGCGATCACCAACTCACCGCCCTCCACTCGGAATGTCACACCCTGAGGGATGGAAGGAAAGGATAAGGCTAGGTCTCTGTAGGTCTTCAAATGGAACTCCTGGAGGGCCCCCCATTCCCGTCCCCACCTCCCACTCCCCACTCACAAATCTATTTTTGTCTCAATTCTTCACTGATAGCCACAGCCTAGAGAGGATCCTGACGGTGTGTATGTGTGTGTGTGTGTGTGTGTGTGTGTGTGTGTGTGTGTAACTCACAGGCAGTGTCATGGCCCTCCTCTTTAGAGCCAACATGGGCCTAGTCTTCATCTTTAACTCCCTCCTGACTTCTCCTTTCCCATTGGTCACTCTCTGTCCCCTCCTGCATCACACTCAGCCTCTGGCCCTCACCAGATGCTCTCCTGCAGTCTTGCGAATGCCCACCATGCGCACTGCATCAGGAGGTACAGGCTGGTTGCTGAATGTGGGGTCCAGACCTGGGCTAGGGGGTGGTGTCTCATAGGTCTTTGAGGCCACAGAGTCATGTGTCTCCAGGAGGGACTGGAAAAGGAATGGGAAGAGAAGGGACAATGGGGCAGAGCCCAGAAGTCCCTTGGTCCCTTCCCTTCCAAGTTCAAACTTCCTGTTGGCCCCTCCCCCACCCACTGCAAACCACCAGGAACCTGGAAGTGGGGCTCCTGGAGGATGCGTGCCAGCTCTGCAGCAGTGCTGCTCTGTTCTGCCAGCTGCGCCAGGTCTCGAAGGATCTCCTGCACCAGCTCCAGGTTGTTATCTCGCACAGCCTCCAATTTTGTCTCCTCCAGCCGCTCATGGGCCTAGGATGTGGAAGTAGTACAGGTAAGTCCAGCCACATGCCAGCACTCCTGGGATATCAAATAGCTCTCCTCCTCTGGCCAACCACTCAATGTCATGGTCTTAGACAACCTGTAGCCCAAGATGAGAAAGCCAATCAGGCGAAGTAACTTTCCTAAGGTCATAGGGACTTGAACTTGGATCTCCAGGCCCTTAGGTCAGTGCTTCCAGGGAGGAAGGGGATAAAAAATCAGTACATGGGACCCACAAGATGGCTTGGCAGATAAAGGCACTTGCCACACAGCCTAGTACCCTAAGTTTTATCCCTGGAACCCACATAAAGGTGGAAGGAGAGGACTGACTTCACAAAGTTGTCCTCTGACCTCCACATATGCACTATAGCATGTGCACACACATACCCACACATCATGCATACATGATAATAATTTTTTTAAGTAACTCTTTGAGAGCTGGAGAGATGGCTCAGCAGTTAAGAGCACCGGCTGCTCTAGCAGAGGACCTGGGTTCAGTTCCCAGCACCCACATGGCAGATCACAACAGTCCATAACTTCAGTTCCAAAGAGATCTGATGCCATCTTCTGGCCTCAGTGGGCATTGCCCTCACATGGTGCACTTACATGTATGCAGGTGAAACACTCATAAAATAAAAATAATTGATTAATTAATTAATTAAAGCCTGGTGTGGGGGCACACACCTTTAATCCCAGCACTCAGGAGGCAGAGGCAGGCAGATCTCTGTGAGTTCAAGGCCAGCCTGGTCTAAATAGCAAGTTCCAGGTCAGCTGGGGCTACAGGAAAATCCTGTCTCAAAAAGACCAAAAATAAATAAATAAATAAATAAATAAATAAAGTTAAAAATAAATCAGTACATGGTACCAGGAGATGGTCTTGCATTTACTTGTTGTTTTACTAACTCTGAGCTCCACAGTGAGGGGCCCTGAAAGGGAAAAGGATGCCATTCATCCCTGTAACCAGCTGATGAGATTTATTTGTATATTTGTTAATTTTGAGACAGGGTCTCCAGGTAGCTCAAGCTGGTCTGGAACTCACTGTATAACCATGATGACCTCAATGTCACAGAGACTCATCTGCCTCTGCCTCCCGAGTGCTAGGATGACAGGCATGTGCCACCACACCTAGCTGATGAGGAGGTTTTTGTTGGGTAATAAAGCAGTGCCATTCTGGGTTATATGTGAACATGAGTCTTCCTCAGTGATTATTTGAGAGATAGCTTCAGGGGCTGGAGAGATGGCTTAGTGGTTAAGAGCACCGACTGCTCTTGCAGAGGACCTATGTTCAATTCCCATCACCCACATGGCAACTAACAACCATTCGTAACTCCAGTTCCAGGGGAATCCAATGTTCTTCTGACCTCCTCGGGCATTACACAACACGGGTGCACTTACACACATGCACTCAGTACACTCATACACATAAAATAATAAAATATATTTTTTTAAAAAAGAGTTGCAGCTGGGCATGGTGGCACATGCCTTTAATCCCAGCACTCAGGAGGCAGAGGCAGGCAGATCTCTGTGAATTCAAGGCCATCCTGATCTACATAGTGAGTTCCAGGACAGCTGGGGCTACAGGGACACCCTGTTTCAAAAAGATCTCAAAAAGACCAAAAAAAGAGAGAGAGAGTTGCAGACACAAGTCACTTCACCCCAAATACTTCAGCCCTCTCTGCTCCATAAGCCACAGTGCCATTGGAACACACCAGAAATTTAGTGTGGCTATGGTAATATTATCCAATTTTCCATACTCAAATATTTGCTACTATCCCCAAAGTATCCTTTATCATTTTATTTTTCTGATCCAGGATCCTACCAAGGATCATCTGTTGGTTTTGGTCATAAGTATTTTTAATCTTCTTTAATCCAGAACAAATCTCAAATAATTTTGCATCATTTTGACAGGATTTTTTGACAGGAGTTTTACATGAGAGGAGCTGTCTGTCTTTCCTGTACTTTGAGACTGTCTGTTGTGTTCCCCAGTGATCCTTCTCCAGTGGGTCTAGCATCCACTATGACCCTTGGTCGGAAACAGTTATTCTATTGGAGGTTACAGTGATTACCTAACTCTGTCATCTTTCTGATATTTTATTAATTGGCATTCTACTATGAGACAGAGCTTTTCCAAGGCTGGAGAGATGGCTCAGTGGTTAAAGCACAACACATGTATCCACACACATGCAAGAACATACACTCACACACGTATACCACACAAAAATTAGAAAAAGAAAAGGAGCTTTCCTTCCTCCCTCCAACTCTGCTTCCTCCTTCCTCTGGATATTGCTATGAACACTTTTGGCCATTAACAAAGTTTTATTTAAACACAATCATGGGGCTGGAGAGATGGCTGATAGGTTAAAAGCACTAGCTACTCTTGTAGAGGATCAGGGCTTAATTCCCAGCACCCACATGGCAGCTAACAACCAGCCTTAACTCTAGTTCCAGGGGATCCAACACCCCCTTCTGACCTCCGTGGGCCTTGCACGGCACGGGTGCACTTACATGCATGCAGGCAATACACTTGTACACATAAAATAAAAACGTTAAACACTACCCTTCTTATTTGTTTCATCTTGTCTTTGACAGCTTTTATTCTATTGTGGCAAAGTTGAACATTGTGAGAGAGGGTGATCAGGCTGAAAAGCCATAGTATTTACTATCTATACAGTGACAGAAAAGAATTAGGTGATTTTTAAATGTTTTTATTAGTATATATATTAATCATGCATGGTAATGAGTTTCATTATGACATTTTCATACATGTATACAATGCATTTTGATCCTATTCACTCTTACTACCCTCTCCACCCCCACTCCCACTGACCCCTCCTTCCTCCTTACTCATCCCCCTACTTCCATGCCTGTTTTTTCCTTTTTCTTGTTTTAAAAGATTTTTTAATATATTTTCTTTATTATTTTTATTTTATGAGTGCATTGCCTGCATGTATGTGAGTGCACCCGTGTCGTGCAATGCTGCGGAAGTTAGAAGAGGGCTTTGGATTCCCCTGGAACTGGAGTTAAGGACAGTTTCTAGCTGCCATGTGGGTGCTGGGAATCGAACCTGGGTCTTCTGCAAGAGCAGTCAGTGCTCTTAACCATTGAGCCATTGCTCCAGCCCCAAGATTTTTTTTTAATGTATAAATATTTTACTATTTTTAAGTTATGTATATGTGTGTGTGTGTGTGTGTGTGTGTGTGTGTGTGTGTACACAGTAGAGTTCCAGGCGGTTGTGAGCCACCATATGTGGGTATTGGGAATTGAACTGGGGTCCTCTGGAAGTTTTATTTGGTTTTTTGACATAGAGTCTCTCTGTACCCCCAGCTGACCTGGAACTCATTATGTAGACCAGTCTGGCCTCACTCTTCACAGAGATCTGCCTGCCTCTGTATCCCAAGTGCTGGAATTAAAGAAATACACCACCACACCCAACTTGTAGCACACACTCTGCACTCAACCACTGAGCCATCTCTCCAGTCCCTATTTTTTTAATTTTAAGTATGCCTGCATGCATGTAAGTGCACCATGTACATGCCTGATGCCCAGTTAGGTCAGAAAAGGGCATAGGATCCCCTAGGACTGGAGTTAAGAACAGGTACTAGCTGCCGTGTGGATGCTGGGAACTGAACCTGGGTCCTCTGCAAGAGTAGCCAGGGCTCTTAACTGCTGAGCCATCTCTCCCTCTGGTGGGTCATTTTTGAGACAGGATCTTGCTATGTATCCCAGGCTTGTCTCAAACTTGAATCCTCCTGCCTCATCCTCCAAGTGCTGGATTACAGGTATATGCCACCACCCCCAGCTCCACCACTATATTCCTTGGCTCTGTTTGTCTGGAGGAAGCACAGTCATAGCAGTTTCCTGCTGACAGAGTCCATCAGTCTGTGAGCACCCTCTTCCATTCTGACACTAACCTAGGTCTAGAAACAACAGTTTCTAAAGGAACCCTGACCCAAATAGAATTCAGAAACCAAGATCTGGTACTCAGTACCCATTTCTTTTTAAAAGTTGTTTCTTGGGGCTAGAGAGATAGCTCAGTGCTTAAGAACACTGGCAGCTCTTGCAGAGGATCTGGGTTCAGTTCCTACCACCCACGTGGTGGCTAACAACCATCTGTAACTCCAGTTCCAGGGGATCTAACACCCTCTTCTGGCCTCTGCAGGCATTATGCCCTCATGGTGAACATACATGCAGGTAGGTAAAACACTCATAACACAAGCTGGAGAGATGGCTCAGCAGTTAAGAACACTGGCTGTTCTTGCAGAAGACCCAGGTTTGAATCCCAGCACCCACACGGCAACTAATAACTGTCCATAACTCCAGTTCTAGGGTATCCAACAGCTTCTTCTGTCCTCTGGTATTGAACAATATGGGTGCACCTTACATACATGCAGGCAATACATGCATAGACATAAAATAAAAATAATAAATAAAATAAAAACACAACACATAAAATAGAAATAAATCTTTTTGTCTAAAAAGTCATTTCTGAGCCAGGTGTGGTGGCACACACCTTTAATCCCAGCACTTGGGAGGCAGAGGCAGGCAGATCTCTGTAAGTTGGAGGCCAGCCTGGTCTGTATAGCGATTTCCAGGTCAGCTGGGGCTACAGGGAGACCCTGTCTCAAAAAGACCAAAATAAACAAATTAATTAATTAAATAAAAAGTCATTTCTTTTTAAGATTTATTTTATTTATTATCATTATTGTGTGTGTGTGTGTGTGTGTGTGTGTGTGTGTGAACTTTGTGGAGTCAGTGCATGGCCAGCACTTTTACTGGCTGAGCCATCTTACCAGCCTCTGTGTGTCATTTCATTGGTAGATGTTAGTTACCATCATTAAGTCAAGCTCTACAGGATTGCCCTCATCTTCCCCCACTCCATATTTGTATCACCTCTCTTCCTTCTTCTGTCCTCTGGTATTGCATGACACGGGTGTACTTACATACATGCAGGCAATACACAAGGGAATACAATAAGGGAAAACTTATTTCCA